GAAACGACTGATTCATTTACGTTTTCAATTTCGGGACGCATTGGTTTTTAAATTGATACCCTTGCGTGCGGAATATACCTCCGTAGTAAGGGATCCTTAGTTCATGTCAAGTATAGATCTATTATTAGGCAGATAAGTCATAACTGGTTCGGAATGTAAACTATGACGTACCAGCATTATGCAGCGAAGTGACGTCACATCAGTGTATAATTATGCATTCCCACTTCCCGATGATATTCCTGTTAATCCGGCAACCTCGACCGGGCCGACTGTAGAGCCGCTCTCGCGCGTGGTGGGCCCCCGCTCGTGTTGTAGGTGTAGGCCGGAGTAACGAGTGCGAGAGAGACGGCGCTATCGGGAGGAAGAGTATGGACGGCGTCGGCGTCAGGTTTCCCGAAGCCAAAAATGGCTTCACTATCTAGTCGGCCGAGCTGTTGTAAACATCGACGACACGGCGCAGCGACGGACGGCAAACGGCACACGCTCTTTGCTACTCGGAACCGTTTGTTTACATTATAGTACAGGCGAAGAGTAGTTATGTCAAGAGAAGAAAGACAAGGCGAATAAATTAGAGAGAGATCAGTAACTTATTCAAAAAACATAGCTTCCAAAATACAGCTGATGGCGTCTAAGTGCCAATTCACATGGAGCGTATGGTCATAGGGCAGGACAGGTGACCAGTACCATTAGTTTTATATCAGTATTTCATATGAAGCACGTTCGATAAGTACTTATAACTTGGTACGAGAGCTATACGCCGTTGCATCAGCGCGCCCACGAGCAATTGTTTAATGATTTCACAAAGTACTAAACTGATAGTCAGTTACGTACCATCAGGCGAAATTACCCGTATATTATTAAATTTGCCATGAGGAATTTAAAAATTGACACTGAGTATAAGAATAGGGACTGGCGTACAAAGTAACAAAGGCACCTTTTAGATATCTTGCACATATGACAGGATGTACCCATAAACGTTTCTCTCTATTTTTTCTTCTCCGTTTAATCATGAGCCAAGATATGGCAACAGCGATTTTCCTACGACTGTCCAAAATGGTATTCAAATTTGAACTGTCGATCCGTTGCATGTGAAACTTTCCGTCAGCGCTCACCATACGCTTCGTGTGAAACGGCACTAAATGCGTGAGATAAATACGGTGTTGCCAGATAGAGAATATTTTTTCGACAAATCTTCTTTTGTTTGAACATTTGTTCATTGCGGGGATTTGCAGGCTACGAAATATATTTTCCATTTAATAATGTTATAAATCACACTTTTCGCAAGAGAAGCTATTCTCAAAATCTAGCTGGCTTTCACATAGCTAGTTAACCTTTAGGAACCTACGAGGAATATTACACAATTTAGTTTAGTAACAAAATATGCACTTTAGCTTAAATATTCAAAAGTTTTCTTACCTCAGATCGCTTATTTGATCAAAAATTGGACTATTTGACGTAGCTGCTAGGTACCTAGGCAGTCTGGCATTGAGACGATATGTTTACTTATTTACTATGACTTTTTGACGTAACCACCAAAAACCCTGAAAAGAACTGAAAGACATTCTGCTTAGTATAAATGTAGCTGTTTCTAAACATTTTATGATAGTTTGGCAACACCGCCTCGGTACAAACAGAGCTATCTAGCAATGAATCTAAACCAGTAATAGTCCAAGAACCGACCGAAAGTTTTGGTTACATCGTGTTCTGATATGGTATGTCAAAAACATGTCACATCTTACGTATTTTCATGACAAACAGCAAACTCGGCAAGTTATACCAACATAAGTCCACTAAACAGCTGATAGCGCGTTGTTGTTTTAGTCAGAGATACATGCGGTCTTGCCAAATTGAACTCGTTTTTGAATTAATTCATTGTCCATCACTTGTACCGAAATTATTCTTTGTTCAAATATACATATATGTTTGTTTGGACATTTATTCAGGGTCGAGATATTTATCAACTATCTGCACTCTACAAAATATATTTTTATTCAAAGTGCATGTAAGTAGTATATCATGGGACAAAATATTTATGCAAGTGTATTGATCGGAGCAATCACAAAAGGTAGCAGATATTCTAATATTCTCTCACGTTAACCAATGATAAACGATATTAATAGAAGCTTAGTTATTAGATCGGGCATTCATATTCTAGCAAATGCGATGGTCATTAAAATGCGTGCTGAGTCAAACATTCCCTCATAGAGAGCATCATATTTTGTAAAATTAATGTAAGAAATATAAGACAACTGTTATGAAACACTGTTAGAGGAAGGTCATAGTAAAATGACAAAACCTCTGGAATTATTTTCATACATCCATCCCCCTCATACATACATGCGAAGTAGGTACCTTTTTATTTTGTTGACTTATTCGATATGTCATTGTGATGTGAAAAGAACTATACTCCATCAAACTCAGCATGAATGTAGCATTTCCTAAACATCATATGTCAGTTTGGCCAAATGGCTTCGGGAGATGTCTAGCCATCTATGAGCGAAGTGCCAAACCAAAAGCAGTCCACTCATAGATCGCTGTGTTTCTGTTTCAACCAAGACCTTACCGCACATTTTTGGTTCCATTGCGTACTAGTTAGTGGGCTTCAAGTTTTATTGCATAGTTACTGGGAACTTGTTTTTCCTACTATACTGCTAACATCGATAACGTAAAAAATATTCGATTACACCTCTCACGTATACTTTGCAATCATATGTTTGTTTCTGCCATATTGATCACGTAGGCATGTCATTAAAGGTGTAACATCACTAACTATTCCTTAATGCAACTTCCAAAACAATAATAATTATAGATGGATCTTCTCGCTTTATCTACCACCCGGCGGATCTCGTAGGCGGGGCCAGAATGTGTGCATGTTGCATGCACACTTGTTTCCTCGCCAGAGTCTGTGTGGCGTCCCCCCTTTTCTCTGTATCGCCCCATAGGTCCACGGTACCCCGTGGGTATTTAGGCCTTAGGCCTTCGTAGTGATTCTTCCTAATCTCATTCTCGATATTAATAAACTTTACGTGAAGTTATGTACAAGAATTAGTAGGTAAAATAATTTAGCATGCGCCAGTATCTAAAAATGATGCAGTCATGTGCGTTAATTTTTTATTTGGATGTGGTGAGATTATGCGGCAATTGCGTCACAAGCGTATTATGGCCGATTAATAAATAAATATATCATGAAGTATTCACAACTCTAGCAAATTGCATATCGATTTGTAGCTTATGTTATTTCTGTAGCAAAATTGATAAGCATTCTCGATTACTGTTTCGCTAACCAAATGTCTCTAATCCTGTTAAATTAATTTGTCACTATGCAGAGACAAATCGTTATAAGGCTATTAACGGTATACTATCACGCGACCAACTATCGAATTCCTTGAGTGACTCTAGCTTGGCGAACTTTTTAGGCATTGTGCTTCGAAGCTTTCGATAAAATGGTTCTGATAGTCCCGAACGGTCATTTATAGTGGACAGATCAGTTTAGGACGTAGTTAGGAGACATCATATCATTAATTTGTTTGGGCAACTGTATTGGGCAGTGCCTGATAGTCATAAACTCCTTATTAAAACCACTAAGTAATTAGAGACTTTGTCTTACGCGTACCAGTTGGTCTACGAACATTAATATAGGTTGATAATATATTGGGGTCAGTAAAGCAATATAAAAACGTCATTTTCGCAGATCGCCTTGTGCCCGCTATGTATTTTGCAGAACCAGAGTATGCGCCGGTATTTTTATTTTCGGAGGGAACTACTTCCAGAGTGAGCCGTTGTGCGATCTCTTTGTCATAAGGTTTTCATTGTGCAAGAAAAGGGGTCATCTGTAATACTCGATAGGTACTTTGAACAACTTTAACCTGTAAGCGCGTGATGTAAAAGTTGGAAAACACATCACAATTACCCTTTTTGTATTCGCTATGCTTTATCACAGCAAAACGCGTCCACAAACGACAGCTGGCAATCTAGTGACATAAACAGCCCATATCGCCAAGATACGCACAATTCTGATGGAACTGTCGTATCAGGAGTTCTGTGGCCGTTTGTGACTTTTTGTACTGTTTCATGCTTACTAACAATGCTCTGATGTGCTTTATTTGCATTGCATTGAATCAGGCAGCAGCGGTGGCCGCAGTAGTAGACTCTTCAGTCTCCTGATCAGTGGTCATGTGCTGTGCGGGTTCGAATCCCGTCCCAGGAGAAATTTTTCTCTTGTCTATGGATGTTGTGATAGTCCGTAGGTGGTAGACGATCTCTGACTGTCGAACGCAGAGGTACCACTCCGCGGATCTCGTAGGCGGGGCCAGAATGTGTGCGTGTTGCCCGAGTCCTTGTGGCGTTCCCTCTTTCCCCTGTATCGCCCTAAAGCCCGACGGTACCCAATGGGTGTTTAGGCCTTAGGCATTCGTGGTAGTTGGAGTATATAAAAAAATTATCTATGTGTACTTCGTATATTTTCTTGTCAAAATTCCCAGTTACTGAAACGTGAAAATACGTTTATTTACATCGGTGCAAATAGCTCCAAATACGGTCCTGAGTTTCATAGATTCTTCATTGATCGACACAACACAAATATTTCAATTGCTGATGAGCTTTTAACGACAGTGGAGGTCCGGTTTTTCAATCTCTGGTTAATTTTCAAGTCAGGTATCTATGACTTAAGTTAACTATCAGTTGTCGATGAAGTCGTGTTTCAAGTTGTTGTTAAAAATCAATAAACTGTTCACGCAAAAACGCTACTTATATGTCTGTCAAGCACATTAAGTTAGACATTGCGGTTCGACCACAACTTTAAAGTTATCCCGTACATGGCCCTCTGGTTGAATTTGACTACCAATTAAGGACAAACTTGATATTGAAAAACTCTTTTTGAACAAAACTTCTGGTTACCAGACAAGTTGCAGTTAACATACGATTGAAAAGCCGTGCCTAAGTAAACGTCATGTTGCATAAAAGTAGTTCTACAAAAAGTGTAACAAACCATTTTCAATTTCAGGTGGGTCTTTATCATCTTTAGCATGAAGTATAGTTGTGGTAAGTGAACGTTTTTCATCTTGTGTATATTTTAATTTACCATTTGATGTCTGATGACATCCATCCATCGATAAAACGCTGAATCCAATCTCCACAAGGTTAAAACAATCGGTTGCATTAATTTCATTTGTTTTTATATTATGCTACTGGACAACAGGATACACTGTGTATTCAGTATTTAACATATTTCGTCTTCTTTTACTGAGTTGTTGGGTGCTAGAACCGTTGTAATCAGAATCATGACGTACGGGTTATGTAATAGAACAACAAAAGAACATTTGGCGCCACTAATGGCGTAATAAAAATGTTGGGTGTTCTGTCCGGGACAACATCATCATTATGTGCCAACGTTGAATATCCAGGTGTGTCTGATCGTGAAAATAGATCGTGTGATTTTAAACTATTATTTAAGAGCTATTTAAAGCATGTCATCATTAGTGTTTTTGGAAGAATTGTATCATAGTGAGAAGGGATGATACGTCTGAATGACTTGAGTTTCCTTAACGCCAATCACTTTGTTAGCAAGGTCATACAAATTCCTCCAAAACAGCCAGATTGGGTACATTATTTTTCAACCTTAAGGGACATTTCATGTGAAGCAGACAGCGAAAAAAGTGTGGTTCCAAAATTCGTTCATATTGTGCCTGTTTAAACATTTAGTATGTGTGAAAGACAAAACATGATAATTTTTTCGTGGTACGTTCATTTGTTAAGTAAAAGAAATTTTAAATCAGTATTTTTTCTAAAAATTTTTTTGAATTCAAAAGTATTATAGTGAGATATGGAACATAGTGTTTTATGAAGGAAATTATATGTACTTTTTGATACAAAAAAAACAAATTTATAATTGAAAAAAACTTGAGGTGCTAAATCAGTAGACATAAGCAAGCGCCAAACGAAATACTCAGTGCGACATGTATGTACATAAAAATATCTTTCTTTACTGACTGCGTATCGCAAAAGTTGTGTATTTTAAACACACTAGGTTATACGAGTATTTTGGGGTAAAAAAATTCAGGATAAAAATGGTGAAAGTTGCCCAAATTATGGCTTGGAGCGTTTACTTACAGATTTGTACCTTTATTTCAAATGTCAGTATTTAAGAAAATCATATAAAAATAAACTATAATTTTATACTCAGTGTAGCATATTAATGCAATATCTCGCAAACCAGTAGACCTAAACAAGCGTCTCACGCCCAGGATGACATAAAAATATGTACCTCCTGTTTGGCACCTTGAGTTTTTTTTTAAATCCAAAATTGTTTTTTTCATCAAAAGGAACAGAAAATTTCTCACATAAAACGCTATGTTTCATTAAGTATAATATTTTCAAATCGAAAAAATTCTTCGATGACATCCCACTTTCAAATACAGCTTCTCTTTCGAAGCCTGTAACTCAACATAAAAAATAATCGTGTTTTCTCTTTCACACCTATTAGATGCTCAAACAGGCCAAATTATGAATTTTTTTAATTTGAATTTGAAGATACATATATACTAAGTGACATATAAATCCGAACACCCAGTTTAAATGGTTTTGTTTTAAAAATTTTGTATAAGTACTTAATGAAGGATAATAAGTAAATGATAAAAATTTCAAAATGATTGCACTGCTTTAAAGCGCTTTGACCTTCAATAATGTGTGGATGCACCCTGATGTGCTACGCATTCTCCAACGCGCCTAGGCATGCTTCTGATCAAGTGGTCAATGTCCTCCTGTGGTATCTCATTCCAGGCAACCACCAACTCCTCTCGAAGTGCTTCTAGAGTCTGAGGAGGACGTTGCAAATATGAGCAATCTCCTACCCATCATATCCCACACGTGCTCAATTGGGGATAAGTCGGGAGATCTTGGTGGCCATGGTAACAATGTGACATCATTATGTTGAAAAAAGTCTATTGTGACTCTTGCAACATGTGGTCGGGCATTATCTTGTTGGAAAGTTGGATCTGCCAGGGTGTCAAGATAGGGCAAAAGATGGGCATCTAGAACTTTGTGGATATAACGCTGCGCGTTCATGTTACCTCTGATGAAGATTAAAGGTGACCTGGAACCATAAGCTATAGCACCCCAAACCATAACTCCAACAGTGTGATGAACATGTCTTTCAACAAAAAACTGTGGATTCCTCCTTTCACCACGTCGCCTTCTAACCCTGGCACGACCAGCGTGCATGCCTAAACAAAATCGAGACTCGTCACTAAAGACAATACTGTTCCATTCCTAATCCCAGAGTGACCGTTGTCTGCACCACTCAAGGCGATTACGTCGGTGTTCTCGAGTTAAAGGGAGGACCCAGTGTGGCCGGTATGAAAACAAGCCAAAACTTCTCATTCGTCGGTAAACACTTCGCATGCCAATAGGTCTTCCGTGTTCTGCAAACCATTCATTTGCAATGGACCTGGTAGTGGAGAAACGGTCCCTTAAGGCCAATAATCTTAGGCGGCGATCTTCACGGTCTGTTGTTCTACGGCGGCGTCCAGTGCCCCTTGCTCTTTGCGTACGGCCTTCTCGAAGACATGCCTGACAACACCTAACCACAGTGTCTACACTTCTTTGCACTCTAACTGCAACTGCCCGAAAGGAAAGTCCAGCTTCCCGAAGTCCCACTATACGGCCCCTATTAAACTCACTAAGTTGACGAAATCGTACAGGTCTCCGTACTCTAGGCATCGTAACCGATCGTAAAGGATATCAAGCACCAAAATCCGCCAACGTTGATTCTTTACTGCGGCTGAAATATTCATTTTTAGAGCGTTAGTGAATTAAAAAAAAAGCAGTATAAAAACCGGAATGTCCAACTGATAGGGCTGAAAATTTGTTCACTTGTTATTTACAGTAAGATAAATACATTCACCAACTTTTATTAAAATAAAACCATTTAAACTGGGTGTTCGGATTTATATGTCACTTAGTATACAAATCTTCCAGAAAAAGTCATTTGCTGTCTATAGGGGCCTGTAAGTCTGGGACAGATCTATAGGATTTTTTGTATGGATCTTGTCAGCTTTCAAAATCATATCCTATATATGAATTTTCTAACCTTTTCATTATATTTTCCACCGGTTACCTAAAGACAGAATCAAAATTTTGTTATTGAAATAACGGCAAGTTGATCATTTTCAAATCAAGTCTATTCCATCCACAATTCTATTTTTGAAACTAAAAAAAAATTGGACGGACTCCGGAATTTTTATGATGGAGACTTGTAGGATATTCATTAGTGTTTTCGACAGAAACTCCCCTCAGTGGTTTTCACGTATGAAATGGACTCGCTGAAAATAGGTTTCATATTCTACTAGTATGATCTGTTATCATAACCGCTTCCTTGTTCGATGTTGTGAGGATGTTGACAATATGAAACCATCTACTGGATTCCATGAACATCAGTAAAACAAATTTAACTTATGTATGACGCACCTCCTTACGGCTTAGTATGAAAAAAATAAAAGAATAGTTCAACGTTTATCTATTATTCTCTGATCTAGATAAAAATGTTATGACTAAACTATTTTTGGACGAATAAACCACTTTTGCATGTTTTGCAATAGCGTGGGCGAATCTAGACTGACCAAAAACATTCAACAAACTGTGTCTACAATGAGCAACCAGATAACGTTTCATTTAGACATTTGGCGATGTGTAAAGTCATGTGCGGCTTACACTTTTTGGCGTTAAACGATGCGGTGATTCCTTATTCAAGAATTTGAGTGAGTTGTTTAAAATTGGGGTACAAAAATATTTGGCGTATAAACTGTGATGCAACCAAATCTAATAATAGCCTTACTACTGTTAGTTTACAAGCTGAGATATTTGAATGAGTATATTTGGATTCTATGACGGTAAATATGTATATGTATAAAATGATTCTATGCCATGTGCTACCGTGTATTAGTCACTCGGTAGATTTATAGACGTGCATATGTTGAAACAAAATGCTTTAAGTTGTACTACTAATGACTTGAACGGTTAGTTGTAAGTACCTTAAGAGGCTTGTGACGATCGGCGGTATTTTAAATTCCATTTTCTTTACATCAGTATTTTTCCTGGTTTAACAGACCATTTTTTGTTTGCTGTTTGGCGCTTCTACGAGTAGCATTTTTTTAAATGATTTATAGTCCTAATAGCCGTTTTAAATTCAGTATGCGCAAGGGTATCGGCGGAAATTAAAGACAATCAAACTGCCAAATGTTTAAGTACCGATCTAACCATGTCTCATTTTTACTTCCCACGCCTGACTTTTTTTGATGTTATAATGTTATAACCCCCAGAGAAAAAATAATATTATTTTTTTTTAGTTTTTCGAGTGTGAACTCGCTGGTGGTTAAGTAGAGTAGCCTGCGGCTAGACTTCGCCACCAGTCTACTTGATTTTTTCTATATACAGGGTGACTTCGAAGTTGAGTCATTTATTTTAACAGTGAGTAGATCTGATCAAAAGAAATGTTTTTTTCCTTTACCGTTTTTCTGGTAAAATTAAAGTAACAAAGTTATAGCCCTTTGGAAGTTTGAGTACCGCCCTGTCTCAATAATATCATGTGTTCGTGTTTGGCAACAACGGTTCATCGCATCGGAAACAAAAAAGCGAAAGAATTTGGAACGATGTTTTTACAATTACAATTCAGTTCAGTTATACATACAGTCAGTGTCAGTCGCGTGTGAATAGTGTCTGTTGCGTGGCTCAAACGAAACAAAAAATGGCACATGTTTATGCGGATCGGTTTCCCAATCGAGTGCAACCAACCCCTCGTGCCTTTGTTAATGTAGTACAACGGGCTCGTGAATCAGGTGACTTAAGACCTCACAGGGACCTCACGATCAAATACAGGTCCGCACTGAAATACTTGTCGGGAGGATACTTTATAAAACAAGGTAAACATTTTTTTTATTTTTTTTTTTTATTTTTACACACATATTTTGGTTTATCTTCCTTCTACAATCATTATCTGAAAATTAATGACTCAACTTCAAAGTCACCCTGTATAGTATTTGTATTTT